GCTTGAAGCTTTCTTTTTTAGGGTGTCACTTTTAGGGTGTGCATAGATATCAACAGTCAAGATTTTGCTGAAACAGTTACCCATTTTAGGATCTTATCCTGGCACAAATGGTCAAATTTCAGAATGCTGAAGTGGACTGCATAGAGAGACCATGCACAGAGCATGCATGTTCTGCCTCAGGAGGCACTGTCAGTCATCCTGGCCAACATCTTTAGGAGTGGTCCTTGCAATTTTTGGGGAAGAACCAACCTTTTCATGGGAACCAGTGTTGGCCACATTTATTTAGCATTGTCTGAAATATATTCTTGTGGTAAAATAGTAACTGTAATTTCTTTTTAAGTTCACAGAGATTTTTGCTTGTTGGTAGCAGCATTACATTTTAGCTTGCTTTGCTTCACAGCATGTAAAGTCGATAAAATAACATGTAATGCATCATTTTTTGCAAATGCCTTGGTTTGTTTTTCTTACAGTGTTTAGCCAAAGTCTTTATTTAGAAAGATCCCTGCCTAAGGCACAAACATGTTGCATATTATTCTTTCTGGTTTCTTGATCCTGTTGAATGGTTGTGATAACATAAACGTAATGTACTTAGAAGCAATTTAATTTATGATTTTCTTCATATCCTCAAAATGTGATTTGTTTTTGTTTTTTCCTCCCTTTTTTCTATGCAGAAAAAAATGTAATGACAGTTTGTCTGCTAAATAGCCATTAGCAAAGGTTTTGTCAAATATATAATATTACTGTATGGCAACCAGTTTAATACAAGTTTTTGTTTTCTTTTCAACTCTGTCCCTTTGGACTGCTAACATCAATATGCATATACCCCAATAATGTGATGACAACTCTATGGTATTTAGAAACCAATACAATTCACATCAGTTGCAATTTACAGAAATGTGACACGATGAAACCTACTTTTTATATGTGGATAGGATTAACAATTTCACAACTTTAGATCTAAGGAAAATATGAGCACTCTTCTTATTACTTCCCTTCACACACACATGAGACATTGGGGACAGTATCGCTACACACGTGAAAAAAACTAATTCTTACTGAACTCACCTCATATTCTCTCTTTACTGACCAACTTCTCCACATATATTATCATATCCTGAAACATATTAAAGCTGGTTCAATTAATGGCTTATATAATAGATCTGTCTGTCATAATCACATGCATGAATACATTTTGTGAAATATGACTGTAACATTTTTGAATGCTTATGTCACTGTCATCATACACATGTTTATTGTATATTGTTCTACTGTCGAAACCATGACATGCATGTATAATTGTTCTTTTTTTGAAAAACAATCCAACATAAACAAAAACATAAATATTTCTGTATGATATAAGGCATTTTATGCAACCATCAAGTGAGCAGTTTGTGGTGCATTGCCAATGCACACAGTTACACATTGCGACTTGGGTTGCCACCTGGTTGGTATTTTATGGGCACAGCCGCTATTTGATGCTGTGTGGCTGGTGCCGGTATTGCAGAACTACCGACAATGCAAATGCTGGTATTTTTCTGACAGGAGAATGAATGTTCAATAGGATGTAGGGTTCTCAGGTCAATTTAGGAAGATTAGTTGGTGCCTGAGCTGTGTGTAGAGAGGGCAGGGATAGAAGTCACATCATGTCCCTGCCCTCTCCACTAATAGAATTTGTGTGGGAGGAGCAGAGCTGCGTCGGAATCCTGAGAGCAGGTACATGTGTGTATTGTAGAATATTGCATATTCTATGTTTCTATTGATTATATATGGATGTGTGGGTTGACATAAGTAACAGATGGTCTAAGTCACAATGCTTTCTTTGCCCGAGAGCTCTGGAATGTGGATGTGGGGGTTTTGTCCTTATTTGGCTAGAGTTAAATGCTGACGTTAGTATGAACACTTCTATATAGTAACAGAGGGACACGAGGTCACTCTCTCTTGGCTCGTGGCTCTTGGCTCTGGGCTCTCTGGCTCTCTCTCTCGATGTAAAGATGTAAGGTTGTAAAGAAGTCCAGCAATTACCATCTGCTGTTGAATGTCCATTATCCTGTAACATCCTTTATTATGTTTTATTATGTATCTGTAACTAAGAATAAACCTGAAGAAACCGTAAGTCAGATTGCGTATTAGTACTTTGCAATAATATAGACATATATTATTGTGGCGAGCATTTGGCCCAAGACTATACATACAAAAGACGTATATAAATAGCAATCAACTGAAGACAAGAAGAAATTAAGAGGATTCTACATTAACACCATTACAAATTACATTTTACATTGGCCAGCCAGCCAGTCTTCTATTCAAGTTTTGTTCCTACTTCAAGGGGGGAGAGAGAAGAATTGAGTTACAAAGCTATTTTGGAACTGGGAAAACAAACTTGAAGAGAAAAAAAGAATCTAGACTGACTATCATAGAAGAACTGTGGTTTGTAAGAAAAAGAAAGTTTTCAAATCGCAAAGACTGTACAAGACTATTTTCTACAACTGAGACAAAAAGCACAAGATACAACGTGAATTCTAGAAGCAAGCACGTGTCAGAGATTGGCAATCATCCAGAATCAAGCCCAGAACTGCGCAGCTGTGTGGATGAAGCAACGAAATAGACAGAGATAACTGATCTGGTGAGTAACATGGAATTCATAAATGATATTGCAGAGAAAAGTAAATTGCAGTTTGCATTTAATAGCAGCTATTCAGATGCTGTTTTGTTGCAATCTTTATACACACAATGTGAAATTGCCAATAGTGAAATTGACAAGAAATTGTTTGTTAATAAGAAAAAACAAAAGATCAGAAATGTTATGAAACTAGTCTGCACTTACAATGCATTGATTTGTAAACAAGATGCAGGTCAAGACAATTTAGAATCAGCAGAAAAAGAAATAGATTTGAATATGTTAACAGTAGACAAATCAGATTTAAATGAACAGTCTATCAAGGTAACAGAGAGCACATGTGGTAATTGTGAGAGATTGTCAGAAACAGTCTGTGAACTAGAGGATAGAGTTGAATTAAGAAATGATCTTATTTGCCAACTTAGAAATGAAGTAAAGCTAGTGTGTGTTAATACAAGAAAAATACAGGCACAGAATTTAATCCCAGAACCAATAGATACTGAAAATGTATCCTCACAGAGTGATTTGCAGAAATGTAAATTTCAAGACAGAACTGTAAAACTTAATTTGAAAATCCATGAACAATTAATGAAAATTGTGAAATGTATTCCAGTTTATGACACGTCAGTGGATGCATTTACTAATGCTGAAATGTTTGAGTCAAATTTTGACAAATACAGCCTTAATGACGAGCAAAGGAATAGACTATTTAAAATATGGCTGCCGACTCAAATGGCATGTAGACTGACCGCGCCTGTAAAATGTGAGGACAATGATGAAATAATATATGGAAATAAGCAAGACAGATTAACACAATTAATAAAATTAACAACAAGGAATGATTTTGCAGTAGTGTTGGAAAAACTAAAACCACACATTGATGAGGATATTTTTAGTTTTCTTGTAAAATTTGAAAATGCATATAGACTTGTTGGTAATTTTCCTGAGGATCAGTTAATTAATGAATTTGTGAAAAAATTTCAAGATCTACATCCAACTGCAATTGTGTTAGCTAGAGAAAAAAGCACTTTGACAGAAGTAGCTTTGTTCTTGGATAACTTAAGGAGGGTAACCAATAATGAAGGGGTTAAAATGACTTGTGCAGATTTTACACCCCTCATCCCCCTCCTCCTCCATCTTCTAGGACAGAGTGTAAAAGAGTGATACAGACAGCTGAGCCCCTCCCAATGTGTTCAACTAAAAACTGTAGAGTTAATCAAAGACAGAATATAACTCCTAAAGTTATTTGTTTTTGGTGCAATAAACAACATTATTTAAGGTCTTGCAGATATTTTATCCAAGATACCAAATCAAAAGCAAATGAGAAATTAAATGTGTTGATTGAAAATTTTGATAGAGAAAATACATGTGGAGATAAATCAATAAAGGCCTTTCCTTGTAAACTGATAATCAGACAAATAAGAGCAATTTTAGCTAAATCGAAATTAGGAGACAGACAAGCAATGCAGTGTAACACAGAAAGTTATAAGAATCAGATAACTTCAAGAGATATGATCAGTTTAGGGAATGAGCATGGATATGTGTGCCAACAGGTGTACACAGGCTGATTCCAGAATTAAGAACAGCACACAAGAGATCTATGTTAGTTTGTTGTTTTAATGAATTGTTAGTCTAAACTGTTTTTTCATTGTTTTTATGTGTGTTCTAAGAAAGTATTTTGGTTAATTAATTAAAATAAAAATTTACATCAAGTTTGCAAATATGGCAGAATGAAATACACTAATGTAGCAGTTAGGAACATGCAATGTATGTTATATTGGGTGTATGCGATTATACAGTAACTCCAATCATTTTTCAGAAGGAAAAAACAATGGATATATTCTTTGTTACTTCTGAGGTTGATTTAAAATCTTTGATTTAATTCATGAGAAGGAGATTTTAATGTCATGACTGATAATGGATTACTATATTTTGCAAAGCCTGGACATACATATGTTTTGATTATATAGAAGACAAAAGTTTTGATAGCATAAAACCTAGATTTGCAAATATATTTGATGTAGGAAACAATATGTTTTTTTGTAGTTTGTTTCATGTGACAAAATGGTGCCAGTGTTAAGACAAGATGGCTGCTATTGCTAAAGTATAGTGGAAAATATATATATATATATTTTTATTTTTTTTGCAACATCTGACATGTGATTAGGTTATACCTCCAGATTACTAAACAATTTAAAAGGGGGGTATGATTAATAAGAAGTTCGGAAATTTAAAATGTTCAGAAAGATTTTAATATAAAGGGAATTTAAAGATTATACATCACATGGCATAAATGCAATGACCACTAGATGGTAGATCTCATGAGAAGAAATGAGAATGTTGTGTAGTCCATGTAATTCAATGTTAAACTGTATAATAATAATGAAATATAAACATTGTAAGCCATTGTATTGATGCTGCACATGTTTTTTGTTTTAATGTAGGTAAAGCGTGACAGATCCATGTGGCAATAAATCAGGAAAGCTTTCCTTCAGACAACTGGACATCGACTGTTGGAAAGAGACTTTTCATCTCATCTGCAAACTGTGATGGAAGATTCTACAGAGTTCATTCGATACAGAAGATTAACAGACTTACAAAGAAATAAAAGATTGACATTAACATACATATATATTCCTAAATATTAACGAAGAAGAAAACAGACAATGAAAAGTTATTTATGAGTATTAATACCAAAAGAGACTACTTATAGCTATATAACACATGGAGTACAATTACGAAAGGATAGTATTATGAAAAGAACTATTATATTATTACCTATACATAGAATGAGAAGTATCAGAGGTAGATAAAATATGAAGTTGATAAAATAAGGATCATGGTCACTTAATACTACAAAGATTAGTGCAATAGTATTTCATAGATTCACAAGAATGAGTAATTTGTTTATATCGAGGTGAAGTAAAACAAACAATGGTAACATAAGGAAGAAAACTAAGGAAGGATAATTTATATTGATTAATATTAAGTAATGGTATACATTAAGAATGCCTTGGATATAAGAGTTCAGAGATCCAAGAGGAATTGAATTGAAAGAGTATAATACACAATTATATTTGACCTAAGTCTATAAAAGGTATGGGCTAGGGAGAATAGGTTTCTATTGAATACGTTGTTATAAGTTGTTTTATGATTTCCCTGAGTTTGTTAGACACAGACTAGGAATAAGAGTTTCTGGGCAGTATGACCCCAAGTTTTGTTTATTTTATTTTAGTCAGTTGAAGTGTACTAAGGAATGTTCAGAACATTAGGACAATCCTGCTTTTAAGATGTATTACATTAATAAGTCATCACAATGCTAATGAAGAGAGTGATGATAATGAATTTAAATTGTTCTTTCCAAGTTATTTTAAAGTAAACTATGTTTCTATGTTTCTATTGAATGAAAAGTTTGTTACTACAAGGTAGAATAGTAGTCAAAATTATAGTTATGTAAACAAAAACAAATCTATGATAGAAAGATGTATGGGTGGAGAATTTCTAGAACAATAAGTATTGTCAACACCATGAACATTATTTGAAGAATTAGTAGAACTTCATGGTTGATAACAGTGGCGTACATACCAGGGTCGCAGGGGTCGCGGCTGCGACCGGGCCCGGCCCACCAGGGGGCCCGACCGCCCCTGCGACCCGGTATGTACCCACAGGGCCAGCCTCTTCCCCTGGGGGGCCCAGGAGCCGACCACCCCAGGGCCCCCCGAGGCTGGCCCTGCTGACACGGAAGGCGGGCGCGCGAGGGAGCACTCAGTGCTTCCTCTTCAGCTCCCTCGCGCACCGCACTGATCCCGGAGCCGGAAGATGACGTCATCTCCCGGCGCCGGCATCCCTACGCGGCGCGCGAGGGAGCTGAAGAGGAAGCACTGAGTGCTCCCTTGGGCGCCCGCCTACCCGCCAGCCCGACCGGCCGCCCGCCCAGGAGCCCAGCAGCACCACTGGACCCCAGGGAATCCCCCCAGCACTCCAAAAGGTAAGGAGGCTGGGGGGGATTACATAAAAAAAAAAAAAAACCATGTGTGAGTGTGAGTGTTAGTGTGAGTGTTAGAGTGAGTGTTAGAGTGTGTGTTAGTGTGTGTGTCTGCTAGTGAGTGTTAGTGTGTGTTAGAGTAAGTGTTAGTGTGAGTGTTAGTGTGTGTGTCTGCTAGTGAGTGTTAGTGTGTGTGAGTGTTAGTATGTGTGTCTGCTAGTGAGTGTTAGTGTGTGTGTCTGCTAGTGAGTGTTAGTGTGTGTGAGTGTTAGTATGTGTGAGTGTTAGTATGTGTGTCTGCTAGTGAGTGTTAGTGTGTGTGAGTGTTAGTATGTGTGAGTGTTAGTGTGTGTGTCTGCTAGTGAGTGTCAGTGAGTCTTTGATGTCTGTTAGTGAGTGCGTGTTTGTCAATGAGAGTGTATGTTTTGTAAGTGAGTGTGTATGTATGTCTGTCGCTGAGTGTGTCTCTGTCAGTAAATGTGTGTGTCTGTTAGCTAGTGTGTATGCGTCTGTAAGTGTGTGTGTGTGTGTCTTCAGTACTTACCTTTCTCCAGCGCCGGACTCCCTTGGCGCTGAGGATCCCTCAGCCTCTCAGCTCCGAATGCGACCGCGCACGCATTCAAACCGCCCATAGGAAAGCATTACTCAATGCTTTCCTATGGACGTTCAGTGTGCTCCTCTAGCGGTTGTCAGTGAGACAGCCACTAGAGGCTGGATTAACCCTCAGTGAAACATAGCAGTTTCTCTGAAACTGCTATGTTTTCAGCTGCAGGGTTAAAACTAGAGGGACCTGACACCCAGACAACTTCATTGAGCTAAAGTGATCTGGGTGTCTGTAGTGGTCCTTTAAGTGTGTGTGCATCTGCATGCACTGGCGTACATACCGCGGTCGCAGAGGTCGCAGCCCTGTAACCCCTGCGACCAGGTGCCCACCGCCATGTGTTGCGGCCTGGCCTGCGCGTGGGGGGGGGCCCACGGATCAATTTTTGCACCGGGGCCCCATGGGTCATGTGTACGCCACTGGTTGATAACACATCCTTTGAATGAGACTTATAAGTATTGTTGATATATTTTAGGTAGTTAGAGCCTACTGAATATACAAATTAAATACTATGATTGTAAAGTACTGATACAATCATCAGTAGGTGGTATTAATGGTATAGGAATGTAATTCATGAATACAAATTACAAAGATTTTAAGCAATACATGTATTAGTACTTAAGTAATATCAGGTATTGAGAATGAAAATACTTTGTTATATGTGTCTGTAGGAATATGATAGTGAAACACAGTTATTATTATTTAGAAAGTTAATCATCTTGATTTTGTTATCTACAAAGATACCACTGTACCAGAGCAGGTAGATATTTTTGATTGCTTTATTGTTTATTGGATCAACATTTGTAAATATTTAATTTTATTCGTTTATTATTGTTATATATATGTATATATTATGTTCAAGTAGTTATGATGTAACATGGATATGGATATCAATACATAGCTGAAACAGAGGGAGTTTGAAGTAAAGTAAGCAGTATGAGGGATAGAAACTCAACCTTCTAAGAACTCTCATATAATAGAAAGTTGTGACTACATCTTGTTCTATGCTCAATGAATGTGATACAAGTGATGTATGAATGGACAGGTTAGTGACATTGTGTTATGGTTTTATGACAAACCATAAACAGAAGGAATGTAGAATATTGCATATTCTATGTTTCTATTGATTATATATGGATGTGTGGATTGACATAGGTAACAGATGGTCTAAGTCACAAGGCTTTCTTTGTCCGAGAGCTCTGGAATGTGGATGTGGGGGTTTTGTCCTTATTTGGCTAGAGTTAAACGCTGACGTTAGTATGAACACTTCTATATAGTAACAGAGGGACACGAGGTCACTCTCTCTTGGCTCGTGGCTCTTGGCTCTGGGCTCTCTGGCTCTCTCTCTCGATGTAAAGATGTAAGGTTGTAAAGAAGTCCAGCAATTACCATCTGCTGTTGAATGTCCATTATCCTGTAACATCCTTTATTATGTTTTATTATGTATCTGTAACTAAGAATAAACCTGAAGAAACTGTAAGTCAGATTGCGTATTAGTACTTTTCAATAATATAGACATATATTATTGTGGCGAGCATTTGGCCCAAGACTATATATACAAAAGACGTATATATATAACAATCAACTGAAGACAAGAAGAAATTAAGAGGATTCTACATTAACACCATTCCAATTAGATTTTACATGTATGTATTCAGAAGTCTATGTGTGTGCATTTAGCAGTCTGTGTGTATTCAGCAGTCTCTTGTGTGTGTATTCAGCAATCCATGTGTGTGTACTCAGCAGTCTCTGTGTGTATTCACCAGTCTATTTGTGTGTATACAGCAGTCTCTGTATGTATTCAGCAGTCTGTGTATATTCAGCAGTCTGTGTGTGTATTCAGCAGTCTCTGTGTGTATTCAGCTGTGTGTGTGTGTATATATTCATCAGTCCATGTATGTATGTATTCTGTAGTTTGTGTGTTTGTGTGTGTATAATCAACAGTCTCTGTGTGTATTCAGCAGTCTTTCTGTGTATATTAGCAGTTTGTCTGTGTGTATTAAGCAGTGTCTGTGTGTATTCAGCAGTCTCTGTGTGTATGCAGCAATCTCTATGTGTATTCAGCAGTCTGCTTGTGTGTGTATTCAGCAGTCTGTGTGTATTTAGCAATCTGTGTGTATTCAGCTATGTGTGTATGTGCATGCAGTAGTCTCTGTGTGTTTATTCAGCGGCATGTGTATTTATTTAGTGGTCTGATTAGAGAATGGTGAGAGAAATAGAACCAGAATATCCACCTCTCTTATGAATTACATGTACACACATTGTTATATACTATATACACACAATAACATACATAAACACAGTAGACACACACTCACAGTATACACACCCAGACAGAAGTGTGCACATACTGTTATACACATTTAGACAATGACACACTGCTACACACAAACACTCATTCAGACAGTACATACACACACTTCCTCACTATCAGGACCTTGCTCCCACACTCACCGACCTCACACTCCCACACCGCATCTCTCTCTCACTCCACGAGGACGCTGTGTCAGAGTCCCAGACAGTGCAGTCGGATCAACCACCCACGCCGACCACTCAGGTTCATGCGAACAGCACCTCTGTTCGTGCAAACACCACTTACCAGACACAGAAGGCAAAACTCTGTGCGTACGAACACCACCTCTGTTCGTGCGAACGCCACTCACCGATACTGCAGGCAGAATTCTGTTCATACGGATGCCCGCTCCCAAACATAGCAAGAACAGAAGTCTGTTCGTGAGAATGCCGCTGCTTCCGCGTGCGACCACACAGAAGGTAGAACTTCAGCAAAGGGCACATGCGCGGCGACACAGAGCCTTTTAAAGGTACAGGAGGTGGAGACCAGGGTTGAACCTCAATAGACAAGACCACCCACTTTCCCTATTTAAGTCGCAAACACACCCTTCACTCTTCGCTCAGTTGTACTGTGCTCCTGATCGTATGTACTGTGCTCCTGATCGTATAAAGTCCTTCAGTGACTATCCTGCTCTTTCCTGATCTTTGACCCTTGCCTGAACCATCGCCTTTGAACATGTGCCACCTGTCCTGACCTCTGGCTTCCCCAACTGCTCTCTATGTCTGATCCCCTTTGTACTGTGAACTTGGTCCACTACTCTGCATCTTGGGCTCTGTCTACTAAACTCACATACACAATGATATAAGCATAGTCAGAGTACACACATTGTAGGTGGTATATTAGTGATTTAGGGAATTTTCTCCTTCCAAATGTTCTCATTCTCTTATATATATCATGTCATGTGATGTCATGCATATATAATGAAATATATTATTAAGTATGCAAATTAGCTTGACCGTAATTTTTTCCCAAAAGGTGGCAACCCTAATTACCACATACACTCATAAGAGCAATGCTACATACACACTGCTATACACAAACAAACTGCAAGACACTGCTAAACCCATGTAGCAGAGCTCCCTGTACCCGGGCCAGGTACCTCTGCCAAGGACCGCTTCGTAGCTGGAACCGGGGAAAACATCAGAGCTCCAGCCCCAGTCGGCATAGCCTTTGTAGCCTCTGTAGCCTCTCTGTCCTTGAACAGGATAGGGGACTAGCTCTATTCCCTCCCAGGGACTGAACCACACACAGTCCTGGGAGCTCTAGTCCTTACAAGGACTTTCCCCGCCGAATCCTCCACAAGCTGGAACAAGGTGCTGAGCAGTGATTATAGCCCTTCCCCTCCCAGTAATTAGACGACACATAGTTCTGGTACTACAACTGATTTTATTGAGCCAAACTCTGCCTTTTATGCACAGACCCCAACAGAGGGTCTCTTTTGAATGCAGTACAAGCCCCTCCCAGGAATCTCTGGGCTTGGGAGATAATTGCGTTAAAGAGTGGTAAGCTAATTATCTCCCAGGAACAGAGAGGCAAACACAAAATATAAAAACATAAAAGTACCCCAAAACATAATAAAAGTATAAAATAACCCTACAAATAATACATCCCCAAAAACAGTTTCATAACATTCGCTGAGGTGACTAGGAACCCACGAAGTCCTCATGACGAAATTAGTTCCATAGCGGTCACGGCTAAGTACCGCTGAGGACTATTCGTGGGTTCTGTTCATGGCCACCAGAGAACTAGGGAAAGCTGCTAATGGTGGCTGGGCAGTGTAACTCGCAAATGGTTTCCCAGACCTGGACCATAGTCGGTGGGCAGGAGGCCTGATTCCACACTCCTCCAGGAGTCCGTGGCAAATGTTTGTGGGAAGGAGGGTTTGTCACATATCTTCCCCCTCCCAGGGAGACTATCCAGACCCCCAATTGGTCTGGATCTGTGTTAGTCTGGTGACCTTTCCCAAAAGGTTTAGTTGTCCAGAGGGCCTTCTGCCACAAGCTCCCATTTGCAAATTCAGGTTCCTGCTGGGACGGAAAGCTGCTGCACTCCACTCCTTGTGGACTAAGTTGTCACTGGGGATGGAGGGCACAATTCTCCTCTCTAGGGGATAACTCCTGCAACTGGGGCGTGAGACTGACTATCTCCCCACCCTGGAACACAATCTGCCGCTTCGGAGTGGGACCAACTGTCCCCACTCCCAGTTACTTGCACTGCCACTGGGGAGAGAGACCAGTTGTCTCCTCTCCCTGTAATAAGCACTGCTGCTGGGGAGTGAGACTAACTGTCCCCCCTCCCTGGAACACAATCTACTGCTGGGGATTGAGACCGTTTGTTTCCCCTCCCTGGAACACAATCTGCCGCTGGGAAGTGAGACTGACTGTCTCTACTCCCAATAGCTCACACTGCCGCTGGGGAGTGAGACTCGCTGTCTCTACTCCCTGTAACTCACTCGGCCGCTGGGGAGTGAGACCAACTGCCTCCAGTGTCAATAACTTGCACTGCCATTGAGGGGGAAGGACAATATGCTCCTCTGCCTGGAACGCACACTGCCACTGAGGAGTGAGACTGGTTGTCTCCACTACCTGTAACACATTTGGCTGCTGGGGATGGAGGATAATACTCGCCTCTCCCTGGAACTCCAAGTTTATGAGCTCCATCACTTCAGGGAATGGCAGCGTTATCCGGTGAAACAGGCATAGGTAGTCCTGTTCATGAAGGGAAAGTACGAACAAGGGGCACCCAGGAAAAGCTGCTAATGGCGGATGGGCAGGGTAACTCCCAAATGGTGTCCTAGACCTGCACCATAGTCGGTGGGCAGGAGGCCGGCTTCCTCCAGGAGTCCGTGGCAAACGTTCGTGGAAGGAGCATTTGTCACAATGCTGTTAATTTTAGCAATCTTCCATTTAGCAATAGAAAGGTAACTTCCCTTGGGTCCAGTGGGGACTGAGCTGGCTGGGTATAGGGCAGGTGCTTCGGAGGGATGCTCTTCTTCAACACAGTTTCTCATTCACAAGCGCTGGGAGGAAGTGATCTGAGATCTGTTTTCCTCCCAGGGCTTCCAGAGGTGCATTGAGGACTGCCCTTCACTAACCTCTGCAATCAAGCACCTATGTCAGGCCAACTCCAGGGGAGAAATGAACATCTCAAGTACAGAAAATAGAGGCATATCACCATCAATAAATCACACATCAGGAGCACTTAGATCAAAAAGTATATCTTCAAATCACCATATATGCTGATGGTAGCACTTTTTATGTGCTGAAGGAAGCCTTTATCCATATTTCATACTCCCAAACCGGAAGTAAGTCTACCTTAACCACATGAAAAGTGCTGCCAGCATATGTGATGATTTGAAGTTGCATCTTCATGTATTTTTATCTTGATCTATCCTAGTGCTGGTGCGGATTGATATGCCAATATTTTCTGTTTGAGTCCTTTCATATCAGAATTTAGTGTTGCATGTTTAAGGTTCATATCTTATGTTGTTTTTCTTGTTATATTTATTTCAGCTCTTTCACTTTATTTTTTGTATAATTTTGTGAGGATTTAGAGGAATTCTGGGAAACATTACGCTGTCAAGGAAAGTATTCTGTTTAGTTTGGTTCACTGGGTGAATTACACACTGTTGGGAGATCTGAGGATCTGTTTGGGTCTGGCAGCCTTGAGTGCCATGCAAAGACATCATACATGGGATGAGAACACACAGCACCCTTACAATCTACAAGCTTACAATCTAGAGGATAAAAACACAATAGGAAAGGTATTGAGATAGACAGCAAATAGACATGGTAGGAAAGTAGCAGAACTGGAGGTGGGGGTGGAGTGTGGCCCTTTAGAAGAGAGCAAGAGGAAGGTTTAAGAGATAGAAGTTACTCTTGGAGGCAATAAGCGTTCCTGAAAAGATGGGTTTTGAGGGACTTCTTAAAGGATTGAAGACTAGGGTAGAGTCTGACAGGGGTAGGCAGGCTGTTCCAAAGAAAAGGAGACACCCGTGAGAAGGTGTGAATTTGCAGTAAGGGTGCGAGCAGCAGGTAGGAGAAGATCGCCAGTTAAGCGGAGAAACCGAGAGGGGGCATACCTATGAATCAGTGAAGAAATGTAAGAG